TACATCTGTTTATACAGTGCGCATAAAAACATAGACGATTAATAGGAAAGCTACGTATATTTTACTATTCATATCATTGTTTTCTTTACTACACTACTAATTTTATATCAGTTATGCAAGTGAACGAATTTATTATTAATTATATCTATTACAGATTATGTTCCTTAAATGTAAAAGCGACGATTTAATGGAACAACAGCCAAATATCTGCCTCGTCGGTTTTTTACCTCAATTGTGCTAGGTAAGAATCGTCCCAGTATATTATGTATTGGTAAGATACAGTCCGCCGCTTCCTCACTAAATTCTGTATCCCACAATTCTGCAAGACAGTTATCTGGATGCTTGTCTGGAGACAGGTGGAAACGGATTTCTGCCACAGAGACTTGCTTATACCAGCGGACATATGCCAAGTAGTGTTTTATTTGAAGACCGTTTATGACAATTGTATGCTCCAGGTAATATTGTACTTGACCCGGGTATGTCTCTACTATATCATGCTGATTAATGAATCTGGCAAGAATGTAGGCATTACTGTTTGATCTGCCAGAGAAGACTGACCCAAAAGTTTCCCCAGATATCTGAAGTCGGCCGTATTGGGTGGCTTGTGGCCTCACAGTTATGTCACCATGTTGTTGATGGGAGAAAGGTCTTCGAAATGAAAAAGGTGTGTCAGCATATGCCTGCTGGTAAAACTCTACAAGACGATCAAGCATGTTTGTAGTAACTGCCATATCTCGTTTAGGCATTGGCATTTCCGGCGGGAGATTTAAAAACAAGAAAAATTAAATCTTTAATCTAGTTGGCTGACTAAAAGCACAAAAAAGATTTAGTTCTAAATCTTAGCATTTTAACAAAAGATAAAGCGTTTCTCAAGCCTGGTGATGGGTCAAAAATGGCGAAGCAGAAAAACTAACAATTGTTAAGGAAAATTTGGAACTGAATAAAGACCGCTAGGTTTTTTTTGTGCAGAATAATGTTCAGCCTGTTGAGACATACGGAGAAATCGTTGAAGCTTGTAAGTATGGGATTGAGGAACAGACAGTTGATATGGCTCTCTCACAGTCTAGGGATAGAGGTGGCCAAGAAACATTCAAAAAGCGTGT